GACCCAGACCAGACCCAGACCAGACCCAGACCCAGACCCAGACCCAGACCCGACCAGACCCAGACCAGACCCAGACCGCAGACCAGACCCAGACCCAGACCAGACCAGACCCAGACCCAGACCAGACCCCAGACCCAGACCCAGACCCAGACCCAGACCAGACCAGACCCAGACCCAGACCCCAGACCAGACCCAGACCCAGACCAGACCCAGACCCAGACCCCAGACCAGACCCAGACCCAGACCAGACCCAGACCAGACCCAGACCCAGACCAGACCCAGACCCAGACCAGACAGACCCAGACCCAGACCAGACCCAGACCCAGACCCAGACCCAGACCAGACCCAGACCCAGACCCAGACCCAGACCAGACCCAGACCCAGACCCAGACCCAGACCCAGACCCAGACCAGACCCAAGACCCAGACCCAGACCCAGACCCAGACCCAGACCCAGACCAGACCCAGACCCAGACCAGACCCAGACCCAGAACCCAGACCAGACCCAGACCCAGACCAGACCCAGACCCAGACCCAGACCCAGACCCAGACCCAGACCCAGACCCAGACCCAGACCAGACCCAGACCCAGACCCAGACCAGACCCCCAGACCCAGACCCTGACCCCAGACCCAGACCCAGACCCCCAGACCCAGACCCAGACCAGACCCAGACCCAGACCAGACCAACCCAGACCAGACCAGACCCAGACCCAGACCCAGACCCAGACCCAGACCAGACCCAGACCCAGACCCAGACCCAGACCCAGACCAGACCCAGACCAGACCCAGACCCAAGACCCAGACCAGACCCAGACCCAGACCCAGACCCAGACCCAGACCCAGACCCAGACCAGACCCAGACCAGACCCAGACCCAGACCCAGACCCAGACCCAGACCCAGACCAGACCCAGACCCAGACCCAGACCCAGACCAGACCCAGACCCAGACCCAGACCAGACCCAGACCCAGACCCAGACCCAGACCCAGACCAGACCAGACCCAGACCAGACCCAGACCCAGACCAGACCCAGACCCAGACCCAGACCCAGACCCAGACCCAGACCCAGACCCAGACCAGACCCAGACCCAGACCAGACCCAGACCCAGACCAGACCCAGACCCAGACCCAGACCCAGACCAGACCCAGACCCAGACCCGACCCAGACCCAGACCCAGACCCAGACCCAGACCCAGACCCAGACCCAGACCAGACCCAGACCAGACCCAGACCCAGACCCAGACCCCAGACCAGACCCAGACCAGACCCAGACCCAGACCCAGACCCAGACCCAGACCCAGACCCAGACCCAGACCAGACCCAGACCAGACCCAGACCCAGACCCAGACCCAGACCCAGACCCAGACCAGACCCAGACCCAGACCCCAGACCCAGACCAGACCCAGACCCAGACCCAGACCCAGACCCAGACCCAGACCAGACCCAGACCAGACCCAGACCCAGACCCAGACCCAGACCCAGACCCAGACCCAGACCCCAGACCAGACCCAGACCCAGACCAACCAGACCCAGACCCAGACCCAGACCCAGACCAGACCCAGACCCAGACCAGACCCAGAGACCCAGACCCAGACCCAGACCCAGACCCAAGACCAGACCCAGACCCAGACCCAGACCCAGACCCAGACCCAGACCAGACCCAGACCCAGACCAGACCCAGACCCAGACCCAGACCAGACCCAGACCCAGACCCAGACCCAGACCCAGACCCAGACCCAGACCCAGACCCAGACCAGACCAGACCCAGACCCAGACCCAGACCCAGACCCAACCAGACCAGACCCAGACCCAGACCCAGACCCAGACCCAGACCCAGACCCAGACCCAGACCCAGACCCAGACCCAGACCCAGACCAGACCCAGACCCAGACCCAGACCCAACCCAGACCCAGACCAGACCCAGACCCAGACCCCAGACCAGACCCAGACCCAGAACCCAGACCCAGACCCAGACCCAGACCCAGACCCAGACCCAGACCCAGACCCAGACCCAGACCCAGACCCCAGACCCAGACCCAGACCCAGACCCAGACCCAGACCCAGACCCAGACCCAGACCCAGACCCAGACCCAGACCCAGACCCAGACCCAGACCCTGACCCATACCCCAGACCCAGACCCAGACCAGACCCAGACCCAGACCCAACCCAGACCCAGACCCAGACCAGACCCAGACCCAGACCCAGACCCAGACCCAGACCCAGACCAGACCAGACCCAGACCAGACCCAGACCCAGACCCAGACCCAGACCCAGAACCCAGACCCAGACCCAGACCCAGACCCAGACCCAGACCCAGACCCAGACCCAGACCAGACCCAGACCCAGACCCAGACCCAGACCCAGACCCAGACCCAGACCCAGACCAGACCCCAGACCCAGACCCAGACCCAGACCCAGACCCAGACCAGACCCAGAACCCAGACCCAGACCCAGAATGGGACCCAAAAAAGACCCAGACCAGACCCAGACCCAGACCCAGACCCAGACCCAGACCCAACCCAGACCCAGACCCAGACCCAGACCCAGACCCAGACCCAGACCAGACCCAGACCCAGACCCAGACCCAGACCCAGACCCAGACCCAGACCCAGACCCAGACCCAGACCCAGACCCAGACCCAACCCAGACCCAGACCCAGACCCAGACAGACCCAGACCCAGACCCAGACCCCCAGACCCAGACCCAGACCCAGACCCAGACCAGACCCAGACCCAGACCAGACCCAGACCCAGACCCAGACCCATACCCAGACCCAGACCCAGACCAGACCCAGACCAGACCCAGACCCAGACCCAGACCCAGACCCTGACCAGACCAGACCCTACCCAGACCCAGACCCAGAACCAGACCAGACCCAGACCAGACCCCAGACCCAGACCCAGACCCAGACCCAGACCCAGACCAGACCCAGACCCAGACCCAGACCCAGACCCAGACCCAGACCCAGACCCAGACCCAGACCCAGACCAGACCCAGACCCAGACCCAGACCCAGACCCAGACCCAGACCAGACCCAGACCCAGACCCAGACCCAGACCCAGACCCAGACCAGACCCAGACCCAGACCAGACCCAGACCCAGACCAGACCCAGACCAGACCCAGACCAGACCCAGACCCAGACCCAGACCCAGACCCAGACCCAGACCCAGACCAGACCCAGACCCAGACCCAGACCCAGACCAGACCCAGACCCAGACCCAGACCCAGACCAGACCCAGACCCAGACCCAGACCCAGACCCCAGACCCAGACCAGACCCAGACCCAGACCAGACCCAGACCCAGACCCAGACCCAGACCAGACCAGACCCAGACCAGACCCAGACCCAGACCCAGACCCAGACCCAGACCCAGACCCAGACCCAGACCCAGACCCAGACCCTGACCAGACCCAGACCCAGACCCAGACCCAGACCCAGACCCAGACCCAGACCCAGACCCAGACCCAGACCCAGACCCAGACCCAGACCCAGACCCAGACCCAGACCCAGACCCAGACCCAGACCCAGACCAGACCCAGACCCAGACCCAGACCCAGACCCAGACCCAGACCCAGACCCAGACCCAGACCCAGACCCAGACCCAGACCCAGACCCAGACCCAGACCCAGACCCAGACCCAGACCCAGACCCAGACCCAGACCCAGACCCAGACCCAGACCCAGACCCAGACCCAGACCCAGACCCAGACCCAGACCCAGACCCAGACCCAGACCCAGACCCAGACCCGACCCAGACCCAGACCCAGACCAGACCCAGACCCAGACCCAGACCCAGACCCAGACCCAGACCTGACCCAGACCCAGACCCAGACCCAGACCCAGACCCAGACCCAGACCCAGACCCAGACCC